TTTTTGTAAAGGGCTTAATAGTAAATATTTAAGGCTTTGCAGGTTCAAGAGGCAAAGGCGAGGATACTATTTAGGTACTTCACACTGTATGGTCCCTCTTGTAACAACTCAACTCTGCTGTTGCAGAGCAAAAACAACCACAGTTAATATGTAAATAAATGACATGGCTTGGTTACAACAAAATTTTATTTCTGGACACTAAAATATGAATTTCATAACATTTTTACATGTCTGAAAATATTATCGTTCTTTTGACTTTTTTCCCCTAACCAGTTAATATGTGAAAACTATTCTTAGCTTCTGGGGTACCCAAAACAGGCAGCAAGATGCATTTGGCCCACAGGTCATAGTTTGAAAACTCCTGAAAATGAAATGTTCCCAAACTCTGATGTGCATGAGGATCAACTGGGGTATTTATTTAAAATGCAGTTTTTTTCCAGGCCTTATCCCTAGAGAGATTTCTCAGGTTCAGGGTGAGGTCCAGGAGATCTGCATTTCTATTAAACACTTGATTGAACTTTCACTTGCTAGGTGACATATGCAAAGTCCTTTGGTATAGGACAGAGTTTCTCAAAGTATAGTCTGGAACCACGAGCCTCAGAGTCAGGGTCATTTTGAATGTAGTTCAGCAAGAGAGCTATGGTAATAGCATACGTAACTTAAAGCCCTACATTTTCAGTCCTGGAGGGGAGCGATAGGAGGTGGGTTGCTATTACCAGGGTTATCTTGTTGAACTACATGCAAGACATATACTCTAAGTTGCTCTTCTCTGGCCTGCTACTTAAGAATACATGTCATATAAAACCTGTACGGCAAAGACATTGCATCATGCAAAATGGCCTGCCTTTAACTCTGCTATAGAGATAAAAATGAATTAGTAAGTACAATATTGCATGTAAATGTATCCTGTCTTCCATAGAGTTCTCAATGATGTCAACAATCGCTAAAGCACATCTGTGTTTGAAGGTCAGATATTATGCTTTCTGTTAGGATTTGGGGGTTTGACTTGAGAACTGTTCTTGCTTAATTTTAAACAGGAAACCACTTCCCAAATATTTTAAAAGTAGCTTGAAAAATAAAATCAGTAAAATTTAGAAATTCAGATGACGGGATGATAATCAAGAGCCCCCTGGGCACCTGTCAGAATTCTGCAGTTTGGGAGCTGGCTCATGCATAATCTGAATATTTATCCATTTGATGGTTACTTGCCAGAGATTTATTTTAAACCTGTGCGTGGTGTGGTAGATCGGTCCCCTCCTTCTTCTCTTCTACTTGCTGACCCTGTGTTTGACACTATCTTCAGCCTCTCTTCAAAACATGGGGGCAGGGGTGGGGAGAAAGAGAATTGGATTTTAAAAGCATGGTTAATGATAGAATTATCGTAAAAAGGTTAGGAAAGATGTGTTCTGATGCCTGACCTTCACGGCGTTGTAATCCCAGACACATGAGGAGATCGAAATGAATACAAGCACATTTTAAGGTTAGAGAACACCTTCTTTGATAAATTAGTCCTTTTGTAGATCTCAAAATTGAATTAAAATACAGCGCTCGGTCACATTTCGGGCTAAACTGTTACATTTGCATTAAAGGTGCAGGGCTCGAGCATTTTGATGTAGGATTCAGTGCTTGGCACAGTTCACGTGGAGTTCAGAATGGTTTTCTCTGCCTGTATCGTGCTTTATGGGGCGGATTTCTAAATTGCATTTCTCCGTTTATGTTAATGTCCTTCTCAGAGGCCTGGCGCTGTGGTGTCCCTTCTGCACACACACGTGCTTCCCATTAATGCTAATGGGACTCGGAACCAAGCCTACTGGGAGATAAACGATCTCCCAGATCTCTACTGACCTCACCCAAAGTAACAGGGTTGTTAACTTCTACGAACATATTGGCCAGATAAAGCTCACATTTATGTTTTTTCCCCCACCTCATCTAGAAGAAGAGGATAGGAATCAGAGGACCTCTGTGGGGAAACCGACTGCAGCTGAGCACCTGCAGTCCCGCCGGGAGGAATTCTGCTCTGAAACAAGTGACTCCTGCCTGGCAGTTGGACTACCTGGGCGACCTCATGGCTCATACCTGCACGCCTCTGCCTTCCTCTTTCATATTGGACCAGGCTCTTCCTGCCCTCAGTCCTAATCCTTCCTCTCATCTATTAGGAAATTTCAGTTTCCAAAGTGTTTCACGTGCCTCAACAAAACATGCGGCCAGCAGAGGCAGGACATATTAATTCTGTCACGTGTCCCTATAAATCTTTTCCATAACTCCACCAAAACTCTCCTGAAAATTGTACTCGTCATGTTTCCCAGCTTTAGCCATTCACATGCCACCTTCACGATTTCTTTCGCATATCCTCCTGTAACAATGCAGACGATACTTTTCCATGCACTGACTCACTTCTTTAGTTATTTTAAAAGATTGTTTTTATCATTGCCATTAATGGAAAACCAGTGTTTTCCTAATACTTTCGGATATACAAATATTTACTCAAATTTAAAAAAAAAAGTTTAACTGTAAACTTCCTAAAACTATCTCTTACTATACTTGGGGCATCGCTGTTCACATTTTACTGGAAGGCAAGAAATAAATTATTTAGTTTGTTAAAATAGGTAGAAGTTACTATCTCAGCAATATTTATATCCACTCAGAAAATGAGATGACCCTGACATATTTCATCCCGGGTATATGTGTAAGCTTTGCACCATGATTCAGTATGAGACGAGCAGCAGGGAACTGCACAGTTGGTTGGGGACGGTTTTGTCCTGTGGCTGGTGCTATCACTGCGGTGTGAACTCTGGTGGGAAATAGAAGACTCCTTTCTGCCAACTCTCTTGAGAACCAAGGAAGCCAATGCTCATGATAATGAAACACAGGGCATAACTTATTCCCACACGAGAAAATACCTCACTTTCAATGATAAAGAACAGCAGCATACTTATGGTTTCTAGGGTTTAGGTGTTTATAATCTTTCACACTCTTAGTCATTTCTTTGTGGTAGGCTCATTTCTCTTTGTTAACTATTCTATTGGTGTAAAAACTTCATAAATGTTCATTTCAGTATGATTTAGAATATATGCATAGACACTTTATTAAAATACAAACAACAGTAACAAAACAACTACTAATATTTCTTAGGTGTCAGGCACCAATGCTAATCACTTAGCATGGATTATCGCAGTCAACGAAACAATCTTATGACCTTGGCACTGCTATTATCCCCACACAGGCTAATCATCTGTCCAAGGTCACAGAGCTAGTAAGTGGGAGACATGAGATTCAAAGCCACATCTCTCTGATTCTAATCCCTGCCCTTTAATCATGATTTAAGATAGCTGCCTCATATTCTCTTATATGTCCATAACTTGCAAATAATCTATAACAAGGATCAGCTCTGACACTAACCAGCTCCGAAACCTTGGGATCTCTGTCTATCCTATTTGATCACTAAATTCCCTTTTGTAGCTGAGATAACCACGTATGAGCAAAGACCTCTAGCTAGAATTGTGTTTTACAAATATTATTTAACTCCTTTTTCCTTTGCCCTGTGAAACGGAGTAAACACATGGTCATACACTGATGCCATTGCTCTGAGGAAGTAATTAATGGACTGAAATAGTTGGAATCAATTTAAACACAGATTTTGTTCCAACACTTGGATTTCCAATTTTCTATCTGCACAGACAAATATGTTTATGATAAAAAAGACTTCCCCAAATGGTAGTACCTTTCCAACTTCCTCTGACCCTAACATATATAATTAGGTGATTTTTCGCTTTCTTCTTTAAATTAAAATAGAGATAATTATTCTTTTTGGTCCCCAACCTTTTTGGCACCAGGGACTGATTTCATCCAAGACAATTTTTCCATGGACTGGGGAAGGGAGGGGTGGGGTGTCATGAAGTGGGTGGGGTGCGGTGCACAGCTCAGGGGATGCTGCACAGCCCATTTCCTGACAGGCCGTGGACCAGTAATGGGCTGCGGCTGGGGTTGGGGACCACAGCCTCAGGCTAGCTGATATCACAGAGGGAGCTACAAATGGGCAAAATGGAAACAATATGTTATGACCCATCCGTATCTATTATACAGAAATAGGAAAAATGGGTAAAAAAATTTCCTGGTGCTGTATAAAGAACCAAGGAGAACTCAGAATCAGGATTCCTGGGTTCAATTCCCTCTTCTGCTACTGGTGACTTTTAGAAGTCACCAACCTGAGCCTCATCGTCTTCAGTCAAATCATTGCCAAGATCCTTCTAACTCAAAAATCCTATGACAGGGCAAAATACAAAGTGATAGAAATGCAAATGAAATGTAAATTAAGATCTCATCCTTCACAATTGTTACTTAGTACTTCCAGCCCATGTCATCAACCCAGGATGTCGGAATAGTTTCACATCATGTGCTGCGCGAAGAGCATAAAGGACTTTCTGTGATAAACTATAAAGCACCCAGGCTCGTACAGTATGTGGAAATTTTATTTCCTTAAAATTGACAGGGTTGGCTGGGTGACTAAAGCAAAGCACAGAGGTGATCAAAACCTTTTATTAGCATAATAATCCATATCCATATCTCTGAATAACAGGGGCAGCTCTTTTAAAAATCACCAATGTCACTGTTTAAACAATGTTTGCTAAAAATAGTACTTGAGTTGTGAGTTTTCAATTTGTTAACACAGAGTTCCTAGACATGAATTTCAAATCTATAGAGACTTGAAAGAAAGTTAATTAAAGGATTGAAGATAACATTAGTTACAACTATAATAGATACAATGGCTGTAATTCTCAAAATTGTACTGGATGATTTTGAAATAAGATAGCCTTTCCATCATATTCATTGCCAACATTTTGCCAAGAATTATTAATCATATTGTGTTTGCCATGATGAATTAATTTAGCAACACGGTGATATCTGTATGTATTAATACGAATGATGCCACTTCTAAAGATTACGTTATTAGAAATGAGGACACATATATTGATATACGAGTTCTTTAGGTTAGCCATTACCTTTTACTACCAAGTTTCCAGTACTGCTAGCAGTTCCAAAATGGTTAGTGGCTATGCACGTGTAACTTCCAGCATCTGATTTAGTCACGTTGATGATTCTGAGGTTTCCATCTTCAGAAATGGCAATTCTGAAATCAAAATAAATGAAGCAAAAATGGTAAAGTTTATTTCATATGACTCACTGCAAATTATTTCTGTCATTCTGTCATCTTTCAAACCATAAATCATGGCTATATCATTTGACAGCCTCATCTTTATTTAGGATGTTTGTCCACATAGGCATAAACATAATCGAGATGTGTGACTTGTTTAGTAATTTTACTACTTTTCCTGTTAAAATGGTCTCAAAATTCAGCTGGAATAGCTATTATAGATATTAGATAGGTTGTGACCATTTCTCTCTTTTTGGTAGCTCTAATCACGTTATGCAAAGGGAAGGCTTATTATAGACCACCATTAGTCTTAAAACTGCTAATGATGAATAAGAAAAAAAATTCTTGATTAATCAATTTATGTCTTTTCATTGAAAGTGTTTTTTCTAAATGGGAAGATTAAATTAAATGAGGTATTATTAAGCATATTTATTTCTGAAATATGTCAGCCAATACATTTTTAATGAGATACAAGAATTGAACTTAAAAAAATTTAAATATTCTACAACTTGGTGTGACTTTGGCAGAATAGCAAATGTGGATGGTACATCTCAGGCCCCACAATAGGGACTAGCATCTACTTTTTGCAAGGAAGAAAATGCTTTTGTTCACAGACACAAAATCTGGAACAGGAGGGATTTTTAGAGAACCTTATTTTCAATGTGATTACCAGAAAAGGAACAGGAAAATACAAAGATGAATATAAGACAGACAGCCTGACTTAGAGGCTGTTCTAAGAAATAAAAAAATGTACACAGATGGTGCATTCAAGGAAGATGTCTTTTAAATTTCTCCTGTGTATTTCAAATATGTCCACTTCTTTCCATCTCTTCTGCTCTCTCCTTCTCACTTAGTCTATCAAACCAGCCTCCTAATTGTTTTGTCTATTTCTACCCTTACAGTCAAATCCATCCTTCAGTCAGTGGCCAGATCATCTTTTAAATTTTAAACCAGATTACATCATTCCCCTGGCTTACGTATTCTGAATAAATTCCTTTCTAGAGCCTGTGGGGTCTAACAGATCAAGCTTTTTTTAAAACAAGGCCTCTATTGCCTACTATTTCATTCTAATCTTTGTACCTTCAATAAACTCTAGTCACACTGACCTTTTGCAAGTTCCTAGAGTATGTGAAACTCCTTCCTACCTCAGGGCTGTTGCACGTGCTGTTCTGCCTGCCTTGAATTCATTCCCCTGCGTCTGGATATAGCTGCCACCTGCTCACCCTCAGGACCTCAACACAGTGGTAGTTTTTTCTTATAGGCCTTTCCTGACTCACTTTCTAAAGTGGATCTCCCTCTCAGTCTCTTTTCCTGCAGCTGTTTTATTTCTTCCCACTAAACACAATCTAGAGGTTTTATTTGTTTTCTTGTTAATTGTGTTATCACATGGAATGTTAGCATCTCTGAGGGCCATGACAGTGTTTGTCTTACAACTGAACCTCCCGGATCTAGTACAGAGGATAGTGTGCAGTAGACACCCTATAAATATTTGTTAAGTGCTAAGTGAATCAGTATGTAAATAAATATCTATGGGGAAAATCGATAATGCATTGTAGGAAGTCAGAGTGGCTGAACCACTGAGTACTAGTGCTAGACTCTGTAACAGAGCCCTTTACAAATATTTGAAACAAAGGGTCTAGGATGGGCAAAGCTTCACTTACTAGAACTTTTGACTAAGCATTGTAAAAGCAGAGGTGAAGATTTAAATACACTGGGCTGCAAATGCTATATGTACATTTTGCGAAGCCTCTCATGGATGGAGAAGCTGCAGCCTTCCTGAGGATCCACCACAGGTTCTCCAACGACTCGGGCTGATGAGAAGATATAATATTAAGGTGGAAGAACTTCACAAAGGATTTTGGAATCCGAAGGATGGGGGTTCGTTCACATTCCCGTTCTGTCATTTCTAGCCGTGTGACCGGAGGCAATTTACTTAACGTTCATAGTTTTAGCTTCCTCATCTGTAAAATGGAACTGTCAATGCCCGTCTTATAGGTCGATGGTAAGAATTAGAGAAGATAGGGTCAGTGAGATTCCTCGCACATTTCCTGGTATTGTTTAGATAGTGCTCCTCTTTCATCTTTAAAGCTGTGTCCTTTTAATATAATAATTAAATCAGTCCTCTTTTTGTACTTTGACTATCATTTCTGCAATCTGAAGTCAATATACAAATTAACTGAGCCATCCCAAGTTAGTGTACGAGATACAGACAAGGAGTAGGGTGCCTGCAGTTGGGTGTCTATACCTGCTGGTGGTGGGGTGTGGCTCTCTGGCAGAGGCCTGAAGTTGAGGGCCCTGGCTTCTGGGCTAGGGTGAGCCATGTTCCCAGCCGGGCCCCCAGCTCCAAAGAGCTGAGCTGGAGCGGTGGCCAGCACAGTGGTAGCAGCTGGACTGACCATTGCTGTGCAGGATTTGTGAGCTGTTAGGTTTTGTAAGCCATGAAGCATATGGAGTCTCAAGTAGAGTAAGTTTTTACAAAGTCTACCAAAATCTACCTCCAGTGGTGGCTATTACAGAGGTGGGTTTGAACCCAAAATGACAAATTGGGAAGCAGCATCAATACTAGGTGTAAGTCCTACTGCCAATAAAGGAAAAATAAGAGATGCTCGTGGTAAGATTTTGTTCTTAAATCACCCAGACAAAGGAGACAAAGGAGATGTCCTTATATAGTAGCCCAAATCAACGAAGCTAAAAATTTACTAGAAGCTCAAGCTACAAAAATGAAGTATGTATGATGAATTATAAGTTCATAATAATTTATGTAGAAGTACCAGCTTTTTATAATAAATGGCCTTAAAGCTACATTTAAAAAATGATTTAGTATAAGCTAAATCAAAGCCTTGGTTTTTTTAAAAAAAGATACAGACAAGGGGGCCTTTTGTTCAATTCACACCACAGATACACACACAACACTTGTTCAATAAAGACCATCTGATACCTCATTTGCCAAAGAGCAGATGTACTGACAAAAATAGAGTGGTGATCAAATCTTAATTACCTCAATAATAACAAAAATAGCTTTAAAGGAGTTAATCATATTCCTATTTATAAACTAATTTGTTAGAAATTGTGAAATGTTGGCGTATGAGGACTCAACAAGCAAGGTAACATTTGTGTTGCGGATGGGGACTCGTCTTCCATGAGGTAACACCGGCCTGGGGCATGTGAAAAACTCTGAGGAGTAAGGTGACTCTTTCAAAGCACAAAGGCTTTGACATTTTAAAATTTAAATTATCAATAATTTATACTGCTTAAAGTGGTATCATTGTAATTCCAAAAACCTAAAGCTATTGCTTGTATCAAACTATAAAATGCCAAAGGATATGAATAAGGAAAAAAAAGGATTTGTCATCAGAGGATTTGGGTTCTAGCCTTGACTCTGAAACTTGTCAAGGGTAAGCCCTGGCCAGATTACTTATGCCTTAAAACAAGATTTCTTAACCTTGGCACTGGGGGTCAAAACCCACCCCCGGTTGAGAACTACTGGTCTAAGTCATTTTTTAAAAATCTCACAGAATATTATGATGAATATCTTCTACAATGAGAGAAAGTATATGAAAAGTTTTGTTAACTATGAAGTGATCTACAAATATTTTTCTCACCGTCATTTCCTGCTTTCGGTATCTCCTTGCACAAAACCCAGCTAGCTCTTCACAATCCTAGTACAAGTCTCTCTTTGCCCCTTTGTCCTCAAGGCTTCCCTACCCAATTTCCTATTGGCCTTGTGAAATGATAAAATAATTTCACAGGCTATCGTACTATTAATTTTTAAGATTTCAAAGCCTAACATTGATTTAGTGTTTTAATTCTCCCATTATTATTTGCAAAGAGGTAAGTAAAAGAGGAAAGATTCTAAATGCTATTAATAGAATTCCAGATGGGAGAAGGTCCGTGAAGAAGATTATTTGTATAGGGGGTAACTTTCAGTGGCCTTCATTAAATCACGTCATATTGCTGTGACCACTTACTCTTCCTAGGTATTATCCAAATGTGGGGCAATATGAAGTTTGAAGAACTGTGCTTTTTTGAAACTCAACCACTTTCTTACACAAGCAATGTAGTATAGTGACTAAAAACATAAACTCTGGAACTAAACTGTCTATGCTCAAATCATGTTCCTACTACTCATGGGCTGTGTGACTTTGGGTAAGTTAATATCTCGTACCTGTTTCCCTATTTGAGATAATGGAATAATGAAAGTAACCATATCTCATAGGGCAGTGCTTAGAACTGGCACATAAAATGCACCACATAAGTACATCAGCTAAATGTTCTATTAAGTGAAGCTCTGTGCCCTCCTCAACCCATTGTTTAAAGCATTTATAAAGGACTCTATTAAGTCTAAGATACCTGCTCAGTAGTTCTGCCACTTTGAGTCCAACTTTGTTATTATGCTTAATGAAGCATATGGGTGACACCAAGTAGATATACGAGGTAGATGGTATATTAGACTCATTCATTCATAGATATTTACTAAATGCCTCATATATATTAGGCCTTGTGCTAGTATACAGTGATGTCAAAATGATAGTTTCTGTTCTCAAGAAGTTCATAAAAAATCAGGACTTTAGATGATTATATATCTGGAAATAATGCCAATGTAATATATTAATATACCATAATGCACACATTTCTATAAGTGCATTATTTTTTCCAAAGGGAAAGCTATTCCACACACTATCTAGCTATAAAGATGGGCAGGGACCCAGACCTAGTCAATCAGGAGATCCTATTCTTTTGTCCACAATGACTGGTTTAGGGATATGCCTCCAAAACCAGGAGCTCTTTGAGGAAACAATCTCTTTCCGCTGGGATTGTTAAATTTGGAAAATGGGAATATGAAACTGTTGGCAGTCATTTTGCTGCCATATAGAGAAAGCGTGCCTTAAGGAAGCCAAGGAAAGGCAAAGAGAGCCCGAGAGAGAGAGGGAGAGAGAGAGAGAGAGAAGCAGAGATCTTATGACATCTTTGAGCCC